GCCTTCGGAAGCCCATAAGAAGAGAGGAGGCAGGCTTCGGACAGGCCACAGAGAGGCCGCAACAGGCCGGCCAGCTGGTGAGGCCTCGGACAGGCCTTTGGAAGTGCTTGGAAGGGTTCTGCTAGGCTTGGCCAACTGCTGCATCCTGCGCCTTTGGAAGTGCTTGAAGGGTTCTGCTAGGCTTGGCCAACTGCTTCACCCTGCGGTGTCCCAGGCGCCTCCCCGCCTAGGCTTTGGCTATAGGCCGGGGTCGGCGGAGTTTTAGAATTCTCCAAAACAAACGTATGGCTTTGCCTTTTTCTCATCACCCAAGAAGCCTGAGAGGAATGCTGCAGCTCCTCAATCAAGGATCTCTGCAATCGGACTCCCTCTGTGCTGGTGAATACGATGCGGAGCAGAAGGCAGGGTCCAAGACCAAATTCATCGGCAAACGCCAGTACCGGTGACCGTGGGAGACGGGGATGTGGGATGATGCAGGCATGTTCCCTTAACATTTCGGAGTTGGGATCACACTCGTGGAAGTCTTTTCCATGGATTCCTACCCCTTTCCTTTGGAAAAAGATCTGACTCATCCGCTGTTTTCCCGTGCAAAACGAGTGCTCAGGTCTGGACTCTGCCCAGCAGCATCCCCTCATATCGCCGGAAGCTGGTGCACTTACTTGCGGATGAGCTGAACTTGCCCCACGTGTCCTACGGGGAATCCTCCGATCGGAGGCTGGAGGGAGACGTTTGCGACGGAGATAGACGGAAGGAAGGACGGATCTTGGCAGAAGCTAGAACCCACACCACCATGATGATGACGTAACTTCTAACTTCTCAAAGGAAGGTTTATATGTTATAAGTGCCTCTGTCAGATGATGCAGGACTATGCAGAATGTTTGGTATAGTGGTACATAAGGGATAAACCGCTCAAGATTGGTTGACCAATGTATTCAAAGAAGAGTGAACTCTCATTTCTCGCTCGATTCTTGCGATGTGCTCGTGCGGAGCTCAGGTCCCTACATGGGAACCCCGGTCCCATAGGTGCACGTCCTCCATGGAATTGCGAAGCCCACTTCTTGACCACAGATCGTGAAATCTCCTTCACATCCTGAGGTATTGCCTGATATGACTCTTCATTTTTTTGTTTTGAAGAATTCACAAGCTGCACAGTGTACCTATTTGAAAGTGTGTACTGTAAATATGGGAGACACCCCACGAATGGGTTTTTGGCTTTTGCCGTTTCATGCAGTCGACGACGTGCAGTGACAACCCCCAGCTAAGCGGGAGGCCGGCACGGTGGTCCTAAATACAATCAACTCGAAACCTCAAGGTCGCCGACAGCCTTTCATGCTTAAAGTGGAACGACGTCCACCATGAAAGAAACGCCACGGAGCTTCAGCAACCTTCTCGTGATTCGGAAGTTGCAGAGCCCTCATCATATGCATGGTAGGATTATGACAACCCAAAACTTCCATGATGGCATGAAAAGGAATCAAACTCGAAGAGCGATCCCAACCACTCAAAGAACTGCACGGTCAAATCCTGAGCTGTGAGCTCAAATCCGAACGAAGGAAAAAACGCGCGAATCGATTCATCACGCATGACCTTCAGCGCTGTACGTCTCTTCTTGTTTCTTTTTTTTCAACCCACGGGTCATACATTGGAGTCATGTCCTACCCGTTGACGCTTTGAAGCGTCTACGACCGAGCTTCCACGGATTTCACCCTTTTCGAACAGAGCCGGACCGAAAACAGTCGAAGCGAGTTTTGTCGGGAAAATCCACTGAACTCAGATCCAAATGCCTCAGTTCTGGTGCCAACCAGCCACTGCCTGATGAAAGTCGTTGTTTCTGGAGTCAAGGACAAATTGTTGGGCCTCAACCACGTTTGCCCCCACCCTCGCATTGGAGTCAACCCAAAATTCCAGAAGCTCACCCAACAAGGCACGCTGCGCTTGTTCCCGAGCAAAATGGGTAGACTGGTATTTTCCTTCTTCCAGGGGGTCGAATAGGGGTCGGTCTCCCAGTTTTGAATACCCATTTCATGAAAGCCTGTGACTCGGTCTGTGACTCGGTCGTGTTCGGTTCACTGCTGTGAATCCCCATCGAACGCAACAGCGTCACAGCGTCACAGCGACACGAGAAGCAGCGACGCGGCACGACCGTTCCACGCGGTCTCGGAGGCTCTACTTGTCGCACGACCGAGATGCGCTCCCAGATAAGTACTTCGTCGAGGCGCCGGCGGATGTGGTTTCTTCATGGGCGGATGTGGTGCGCCGGCATCGGGGGAAAAAGATCTGTCAATCCAAAGGAAGCTCCGATGTGGGGGTCAGTGGTAGAGGGTGGGGGTCACTGGACTGGTGCGGAAGGTCCCCACTTCCCCAAAAAGGGAATTGCATGTGAAGATTGGTTGGTGAGCTGCTGGGGTGATGGGTTCCCCTCTCACCCTACAAGAGCTGAACAGCTGAACTGAGAATCTTTCTGGAAATAGAGATGCGTGGGCTGGCCAAGCTTGTTGAAGCCTTACACTTCTTTGTAGTAGGTTGGCACACCAAAGGGCCAAAGGGGAGTCACAGGCTGAGTGTTTGGGTGTTTTTCTTTCCACCTCTAATCATAAGAAAATGACCGAGAAGGAAGACTTGAAGGTTATTCAGAAGTTCATATCGATCGGTTAATCTATATTGAGTTTGCACATTGCAGACAGCATAAGGAAATGAACCTTTTTTTAGTAAATAACTTGGTTAACAATTAACAATCACTAAATCAAAGAAACATGGAAGAACAGCACCAGCATTGCAGGGCGAAGCGGTGGTGATCCGGCACCACGTGCACCCGGAGCAACGCGGCACCGTGGCGAATGCTCACATCAACCGGCGCTTCCGGACCATCGAAATCCGCGTGAACAACCCGACCTTTGGCGACATGCCGGTCGCCTGGCCGGAAGGGTAGGTTGGGGGCTATCGCTAGTAGGTTGGGGACGCGTCGAAGCGTCGAACCGATCTGAGATGTAGGCTGGGGTACCCGATCTGAGAATGGACTGCTTCCAAGCCTTCCTCTCCATGTCATGTGCGGTGTGTCGTTCTTCTGGCCAATGTAGTTCTGTGGTGGATCATGCACAGCTTTCCGCTTTCTCCGTGCCCTGACCACTCGCCGACCAGGTCGACGTCCCCGTAGAGATGGTCTGGCGTGAGGGCCAGGAGCCGTCGCCCTTCCCAGCGCGGCCCACGCGTGAGAACGTGCGGCGCTATGCGGACTACCGGGAGCACCGCCCGGATTACCGATCCGACTACCGGTCAAACTCGAACTACAAGAGGCTGGGCCGGGCTGTGGGTTGCCCCTGCGGGCTCTTGTTCGTCATCCGTGACAGCTGCGCACTTGTTGAGAAGACTCAACCTGCCAAAAAGAAGGATCAAGTTTCAGTGACCTTTCACATCCCCTCATCGTGTCCTTCCCCGTCTGTAATGAAGTTCTGGCCTCCGTGACCATGCGCGAGTCTTCGAAGCGCCGCTTCAGGTCGTGGAAGAGTCCAGGCTATGGCAGCAGTTATGGCAACTACAGCGGCTATTGAAAGAAAAAAAGGCAGAAGATTTGCTCGTTGGAAGGGCCTTTTGGTATTTTTTTTCCAGTTGGCAGAAGTGCCAGGTTTGATCAGGGCGTCCTTCAGTAGTGGAGGTTGGCAGTCTAGCAGTTTCTTGGCCAGTTCTCATTTAGCTTCCAAGTGGGTAGCGACACCAACACCGCCCAGGCCCAAGTTCCGGAAAACATACACTAGAGATGGGCGAGACATAATTTTGGAGTC